GGTACCGCGTGCTCTGAGGAGAGCTGCAGGGGCTTCAGGAGGTAGCTCGGCCTACGCAAAGTGCCTTTCGCCAAGCCAGCGACAAAGTTGTGTCCCAGATGAGCTTGGGAGTCGACAGAGCGTACAAAAAGGAGGTTGCATGTGTGACAGTAACAGCGCTCCGCTTGTGGCAGGCTGCAGAGTTGGGAGGCAGAAATGGTTTGTTTGAGACTATAAGCGGTGCAAGCTTCGGTATCCTTTCTACAGGCGCGGGCTGTGCGGAAACCAGCACAGGCGTAGGTTTGAATCTTCGTCGCCTTCTCTTCAAATAGCAGTTTTGGGCCTAGAAAGAGAACAATTAGTAACAAAGTAAAGTAGAACAGACTACTAACGTCAATAGCCAAAGAGTAGTTTGTAGTTCGAGAGTAAATTAACTTAATGCTCAACTACTAGGGGGAGACCCAGCCTTTCTAGTCGGCCTCATGTTTTAGTAAAATAACGCACTATACGGTATGACATACGTTTAAATAAAATAAACCGATTCTGTACTATTTTATTCCAATTCTATGATAACCGCTCTTACCTTAACTTTTATAACCTCAGCGTGAAAAGTGAAATTTGATCTACGACTGTGGCATTGCGTGAGTTATTTCAAGAACGAATGGGTTTGCCAAAAAACTAATCCCCAGATCAGAAATAGTCGAGTTAATTGGTTTCCTTCGTAGCATGTGGGATGGGAGTACATAAACTGATCAAAACTACAATCCTCTTTCCTAAACATAAATTAAATAGCATGATCTCTGAAAACGTCTATTCGTGTCTTTGAAGCTTCGAAAACAAACAAGTTGACGTCATTTAATGATGTGACTACAACGTGCATTGTAGTACTTAACTATTTTTACGGTTGCGCAGATAATTTTTTAGGCAAAGAGCAGCTATGAGAAACTGAGTATCGCTAGTGACTGCTCGCTAGCTGCTGTAAGCACATAAAGGGGGCATGCAGCCACTTATTTCGCAATATAAATATAGTCAACATTGGCATGAGGCGAGTAGTTGCTTAATTGTCCACATGTGTTTTGCCGCCATGTTGCCGAGCACAGCCTTCCTTGACTTCGTCAGTCCAGTAAGTCGAGATTGCCTGTACGGCCTGGTACACCACAACAGGAGTCAGAAAGTGATTAAGGGATGTCAGTGATGCCTTGACTTAGCGTACGTACACGGGTGAAAAGGAAAGAACAGTGGGGTGGATGGAACCCGCATCCCTGAAGGCGACCCAATGCGTCGCGACTGCGAACATTTTTATTTTTGAGGCCGAAAATGTTAGGAGTTTAGCTTGACCAAATGCTAGCAACATTTGAAGGCTTTCCTGAGGCGTTGAACCTAGCCAAATGTCTTTGCTTGTTCCCTCTGACACTGCGCCTCTCAGACAGTGGAGTTCCACACCGGACTGCGAGGACACCGTAAGTCCACCCTCAATGCCGGGGCATGGCCCCGAGGCGGGACAAAGAGTGCGCTGGAGATGAACCAGCGGCAACCGCCACCCAAGACAGCAACTCCGGGTTTTGTACACAACAAACCCTCCTCCGGGTGGATTCCAGAATTACGCCTTTTACTATTGTTTTCTTCCTTGGGGATTCCAACGGGCGCAATTTGACGGTGACACACATCACATATCACTGTTACAACGATTGGCGATGCCACCGTTATTGGTGTACACCGGTATTGGTGTACTGAAGGACTGAAGGAGGCACTATAGGCTTAGCATACAAACAGTACGTTCGCAAATTACGACACGACCCTCCTTGTATCAGTGTGGACAACTGACGGGGTAAAAGCGGGAAGTACGCAGTCGCGGTGGCAACACCAATAGCTCAACGCAAAAAAGAATAATAATCGAAGTAAGGAGACCAACAATAACAATCTAAGCGCTGATTCTAGCCACAGATTATTGGTTTTAGATCCAATCAATGCAGTATTGAGGACAATTACGTCGCTAAGGTTGGTGAAAGACTGCCCTTGGCTATGAATTTGTCAGTACAGCCATGAACACTAATTTATGTCTTCTGTAAAGTTGTACCGGACTTCCGGTGTCTCATGCCTTCGAGACGTCAAGAAGGTAAACACAGTTCTCGAGATCTGCCCCTGTTTGTGAGTAAACTAGCTAACGAGAGCTAGTGGTAAAAACATAATCTGTCGCCAATTCTGAAGGACCAGTAAATTGCATATCAACATGGCATAGCATGGAAAGCATCATGAATTGAGTTCAACTGTACTGGTATGGTGAAGCTTACCATGATAGCATTTTGGCGCATTCTCTGTCACAGACGCACTAGAGTACAGTCCTCTCTTTCGAATTTCCTTTGTTTTCTTCATTAGAACATCTGAGAAGCAAAAAAGAACGGAGGAAAATCTTATTTAAAATTAGGTATAAAGTAAATGCGTATGCAAAGTACTTTTTCGTCAACTTTTAAAAGTTACACTGAAGCTGGCGCACACAGACCTGATCGACGCCTCGAAGCAGACTACATTTATCCTCTGACAGTCGGGATCGTAAACAAGTGAATATCTACGGATCGCAAGGGATAAGCAGCACATATGAGCCAGAAAGAATAAGAGGCTATTTAGTCCTATTGATGTCTACTTTAGGACAGGTACACCTTCCAGGAAGGTGGGTTACCCGTTAGCCTAGCTGCTAGCTACTTGGCGCGTCCACAGGTGGCGGATAGTGTAACGGCCTTCAAAGAAGGTTGACTGCGAAATAAGCAGGCTCCTTGTTCTGACGAATAAGCAGTCGCGGACCAGCAGCGACAGAGCCACCAGGGCGCGGAGGGCTAAGATCTGGCGTACCGAATGCCTCATAAAATGCCGCAAGTCCCAATGACGGCACTGTGACATGGCGACCGCGAACCACCATTAAATGGGTTCGCTTGCCACCGCTGCCTTGTGTTTAGGGTTTTCAGCAAAAGAGCTAGAGGGGACAACCTCGAACGAACAATC